CAGCCTTCCCGAGATAAACACCACCGGGTTTTGCTTGTACCAAAATGTGGCTTTTTTACATTTCATCTTTGTGTCCAGAGCTGAGATGGAACTTTCTCCGGAAACTCAGACCTGGTCACGCACCACAAATCCCTCGCCCCAGCCTGGAGGCTCTGCCGAGGCCACGGGGCTGCCGGCTCTGCCGGCACAACGGGCAACGCTGGGAAACTTCCCCTGCTCAGATCAGGAGAGTATTTCCCAGGGGAGACCAAGGCCGTGAGAGCCTTTCGAGGGAATTTTCGCTGTGGCACCTGGGTGAAAACTGAGCTCTCAGCCACAGCAGGAGGGTCTAGCTGTGGCTGTTGGTCAACAGGGAGTCGTGGCTTGGCCTGGCACTGCTGAGGCTAGAAACGGAGCAAATAATTATAGCTCATTACAAGTGTTTAATTGCAGCGGTAGCATCTGCTCCTTAGGCTTTAATGCAGCTCAGTGTAACGTTGGCCTTTTTTTTTCCTTCAACAGGAGTTAGAACTGCAGCCTGAGACTTCACAGGCGCAACCTCGTCGCAGCGAGGAGCTTCAGGTGAGTTGTTTCGCTCTAAACGGCACCAAAGAGTTAACGCAGCACAGGAAATGTTTTGAAGGAAATGGATGCTTTTTCACAGCCGACTTTTTACCCAGCTCTGTTAGGGGGCAATGCCACTGTTCCGGCTCTCACCACCAAAAGGATGGGAAATCCCAAAAGGAAACCTTGCAAATGAGCTCAAGGAACCTCTGTGGTTTCACCGCTAATTACACCAATGCCAGTGCGGGGGCGTTAAGGAAACAAAATTTGCTGTAACTAATTTTTCTTGTACCGTTGGCCCTGTGGTAGCTGTACCTCACCCGCACTCAGCCGGACTTTCACAGCGGTTACAGTTTGCTGGACGGGGGGGTTGCTTTGGAGAGGAGAAGTTTTGCACCGCAGCTGCTGGAGCCTTCTCAAAGCTTCGGGGTCTCCCTCTCCACCCCACTCAGGACGTGGTTTCCCACCCCAGCAAACCTCGCAGGTCTGCTGCTGCCTGCTCCCCTCCTGCCTGGCCGGTGCTGCCTGCGCTGAGCATCCCCAGGCACAAGATGTCAGTGAGGAGCTGGATTTGGGCAGGTCTGCACCAGCCCGGAGTCATCCTCCGGGAGCCGGTGCAAAATTGGGGCTGGAGAAGCGGGCACGGTGAGGGGACATGGGCATGGAGAGGGGACACGGTGACAGAGAGGGGATGTGGGCACGGGGAGGGGACGTGGGCATGGAGAGGGGATGCGGCTGTGATACTTGCTGCTGTGAAACAGTCCTGCAAAAAGGAAGGGAGGTCCCTGCTCTCTTCTCTGCGGGCCAAGAGTCGGGAGCGTATCTGGCTACGGGGTGCCGGGGAGGTGCTGGGTGATCTCTGGAGTTCAGCACTGGGTGTGCCTGGGCAGAACAGCTCAGGAAAACGCCTGCCAGCAGCAGGACGGACTCTCGGCCTTGCCTTGGAACCTCCCAAGGCCCTGCCAGCCCTCTCCGTGATGGGACTGCATGGGGCAGGCAAAGCCCAACTGCCCCAGCCCATGCCAGAGGAGATGGTCTGCTGTCTCTGGCCACCCCAAGCACCCCTGCACCCACGAACCCTGACTGAATGAACAAGGATTCAGCTGAAACCCCCAAAACATTCACGCACAGACCGGGAGGAGTAAGCGCAGGGGCTTGCAATGACATCCCTTCCATGACAGGTCCCCCGGGTCTGAGATACCCTCCCCAAGCACCTCCCAGTTCCATGGGCTGGACATGCCCCAGCCAGCCCCAAGGACAGCTAGGAGGGGAGAAGGACCCTTTGGGGTGACCCTTTGACCCTCCCTGGGGCTGCTTTAAGGGGTCAGGACCCCTTGGGCCCTGCAAGGTTGGCCCCCGTGCTCCCCTCAGGGCCCCTCCGGTGGGATGGGGACAACTTCAGAGCTCTCTTGGGACCTCCATAGCTTTTCTCGGCATGGGAAAAGCTCCAAGGGCATGGGGTTCCCTTCGCCTCTCCCCGGGACTGCTTCAAGCCCATGGGGGCTCAGTTTGTGTCCCCCCTCTCCAACCCCGACCCTCCCCAGCGCTGCTCCAAGGGCAGGGGGCTCCCCTCGGCCACC